GTGGCCGGTTTGTGAGGTAATTTGTAATCCATGATATGAGGTGGTGGTCCACTCCGGCGTGCTGCAGCTTTTCCCCCAGCACATTGGGCTGGATGGTGTTGAAGGCACTGGAGAGTCGCCCCTTCTTGGTATATAAGTGCCCTCATTTCATCTGTGGAAATTCAGCGCATATGCCACTTCCTTACTGATAATAACCTATCAGCCTATTTCTACCACTACAACGTGCAGTTAGTTAGCCATCGAGCTTGTAATCGGTGCCGTGACTCTCCATTTCTCTGTCAAGTATGCGCATGTCTTTCATACAACAGCCAAGTTTGCAGGACAGCGCTGCGCCCCTCATCTGCCAATCTGACATATCGTGGACCGTCATTGTCAAATAATTCTCGGGAGGTCCAACAATTATATGGTCAGCTCGGTTTGTTGTAGAGGTTGGCAGTTATGACATCACTGAAATATACAGTATGTAGGTTGTAGAGCATAGCACAACATAATGTGGGTCAAGCGTTTTTACGACATGATCTCCTATCACACAAAATGGCTGTAAAACTTCAGCCAATAATTATACTCCCACTGCACAGATTATTTTCTTGTTTATCTGAAGTACCACAGTAAGTCTTCAAAAGTTCCTTTTTCCATAAAATGCTCAACTCAGCTGTATTTATAGAGCGCTTTAACACAACCACTGCCGTATACAAAGTGCTGTACATGGAGCAAATATCATATGTACAACAATAAACAACAAACCAATACTTTAAGAGATACAAAATAATTAGGTTTTGCTGCACTTTAAGCATTTTTTTTATCTTTTGTCGGCCGTGGTAGGGGACATTTTAACTGTTGTTGTGTCCACCAAACCCGGGGATCGAACCCGCAGCGCTGACCACTGAACTAAAATGTCTGGGCCGTCGGCTCAGCTCCAACAAATTATTATACAGTCAAACCTCGGTTTCCGAATGTCTCTGTTCTCGACCAAATCGGTTTTCGACCAAACTGAGCACACTTGAATGCGCCACTCGACAACTCTCGCCTTCCTTACACGAAGAAGTGGCGCTTCCTCGTGTAGACGTGGAAGTGACGCTTCCTCGTGTAGCGTTCCATTGTGAACAGACGTGTTCAACAAAGATTAAAAAAAAAAAAAAAAGTGTCCAATGTCAGCGGACGTGTTCAATAAAGATTTTTTTTTTTAAAGCATCGTGTTTGTTGACATCTACATTGACTGTTATTTCTGCATTGGGTATCAGCTCCTAATCATGGCACAAAAGCAGGGATGAGATTTTTCCGCGTTTTGGCGGAATTCCGCTTTTTTTCCAGTCAAAATGGACCTATTTTATATTGTTCCAAATCCGTAAAAAATTC